GAGCAAAGAACAAGAGGCACACAGAACATTCCAATAGCAGTCTGAAAAGTCAGGGCTCACAGCAAGCAGAGTTGTCAAAAGCAGGTCCAAGGTCAAACAGGAATTCTAGGCAATAAAGATATGGAGTCATCTTCAACAAACAAATGCCAGAACTTTCACCAGGGGCATCAGTTAACCTCTGACAAATTTCCTCTGGTTCCCTGAGGCACATTCCTGCTGCCTCTAGGTGTTCCCCAATGATTCAACAGTTTAGATAAAGCCTCTTGGAGTTGCTCACGTCCTCCTTTCCTGACCTCCTCTGACTTGAAGGACAGCACGGGTAAGTCTGTTCTTCCTGCTCTTCCTCCTCCCTATTGTCCAAGTTCATAGGACACTCTGCTGGCACCAGTCCTGCCAGGTTTCTTTTTTCCTTGTTGGCAGTTTTCCTTGATGGCACAGGTGCTGACAAACTCCTGCCAGACTTGCATCCCAGTGACTGGTCCAAGCTCCTTTGTGTCCTCATCCCCTGAATCCACACAGGGCATGAGACCACTGGCCTCTAGCCTCATCCCCTACCTTTTCTTGCACAGCACGCATACCATGACACAAATTTCAACTTTGTTGTCTTCTTCCCAAGAGGCTGGGGAAGTGTGCCTCCCTGTCCAAATGGTTGTGCTGGATGGTGGGGGGGGGGGGAATACAGATTATGCTCAGGGAAATTCCTGCTAAACCAGCTTTTCTCAGCATTGTGCCTTCAAGAAATGTTGAACTACAGTTTCCATTAAACTCAGGCAGAATGATCATAAGACAGACAGTTTGGGGATGGTAGGATGAGAGTTGCAAAGCTGAAATATCTGGAGCATGTCATGTTGGGGAAGTTTGTTTTAAACCTCTAAAATTATACCCACTTTTCAGACTTCATCTAACATCTATCAAATGGAGCAATTTAAAAATTAAAAATGAGGTGAGAGCTGAAGAGAAAGGCCTTTGCATGAAAACCACTTATTTTCAGACAGGGCTGAGGTAGATGGACCACATTTGTATGAAATTATAAGCAATTATTTATTGTTTTAGGAGTGAGTTACAATGAGCTCCAGGCCTTCTCCCAGCCCCTGTCCACCCACCTCAGGCCTCATTCACACTACATTTTGAACCGGTTTGAAAACTGGTTTAAAGTTCACATTTGCTCCTGTTTTTCCCAACCCAATTTTTTTGGGGGGGGGTAGTGCAAATCTCCCTTAACACAGTTCTTTTGAAACCAAGGCATTTTTCAAGCTGCCAACAGGAATGCACTGCTGATCTCAGGAGGGAGAGGCAATGGGCAAAAGTTGGGCAGAGAGGCAGAGCATACCCATCCCACAGGTTTTGGCAAACCGCCATTGTTTTTCCCCTCTCAGCGCTCTGTGGACAAAGATACCAGCTCATTGTGAATTCAAATTTCCCACACTGTCAAGTGATCACTTTAAATCACTATGCAGCTGTTTTCTGCTTCTGCTGGTAAATTGTTTCCCTTTTCCCTGCTGGCCAAAAGTCAGGGAAGTGGGTGGGTGTTTCTTGGGGGAGCGTTTCTTGGGGGGCATGATGCGGCATGATTTTTAAAAATCCTTTGACTGTTTCTGCACACTGTTGCATTTGCATGGCTTTGCAGGGGCGGAAATTCATGGGCACCATGGGGGATTCTACCCTGACATGCATAGATTCATAGGCACCATGGGGGATTCTACCCTGGCATGCATAGATTCATGGGTGGCATGGGGGATTCTTCCCTGGCATACATGGATTCAAGAGTGCCATACGGGTCCTACCCTGGCATGCATAGATTCATGGGTGGCATGGGGGATTCTTCCCTGGCATACATGGATTCAAGAGTACCATACGGGTCCTACCCTAGCATGCATGGATTCATGGGTGCCATAGGGGAATTCTTCCCTGACATGCATAGATTCATGGGTGCCATCGGGGCTTCTACCCTGGCATACATAGATTCATGGCTGTTTATTGTTGAACAAGATCTGTAATACGTCGCAGTGATACAGATGTGTTTCAATTAATTGATAGTTTTTTAAAAAGCAGACTCTGGTCACCATTTTGAATTGGTTCCAAATGAAATGTGAACGTGAAGTGAGTTAAATTGCCACATACAGCTTCAATCATGGACAGCACAGTCTAACATCTATTTGGTGTCAAATTAAAGGTGTGATTCAAATTGATGTAGTGCAAAACGTGAGCATGAATGAGCCTTTAGATTGTCTTAGGTCCAAACACACTATAGAAATAATCCAGTTTGAGACCACTTTAACTGCCTTGGCTCAGTGCTAGGGAATCCTGGGAGTTTTTTGTGTTTTGTGTAGTTTATTGTGGCCCCAGAGCTCTTTAACAGAAAAGGCTAAATGTCTCACAAAACTGCAGTTCCCAGAATTCGCTGGCATTGAACCAGGGCAGTTAAAACAATCTCAAACTAGATTATTTCTGTAGTGTGTTTTGGACCAAAGAAGCTCAAAAAGACATGGGATGAAATACATTGATCCAGAATCTGCCTATGTCAGAACAAATATTAGATTAATCAGAAAGTAACAGAAAAAGAAACACTGAGGTCAACTAAACAAAAAAGAAAACACAATTTCAAAGACTTATTGTTGATGACATGGAGAATTAGTGTTATGTTGGAGCCATGAAAAATGCATTGGGTGATGTTGAGTTGGCCACCTGACCTACACCACAAGTTCACTTAGGGAGTATCATGGCTCATTGGCCATGGGAATATGAATTTGCCAAGCCCCAATCCATCACTGTAACTACTACATCACACTTACTGGACATTCCTTGCTGCTGGAAGCATCAACAAAGCTAATGTAATGTTTAGAAAAACCAGATTCAATGTTCAGCTGTATGAAGTAAGATATGCACACAGAAATATAAGTCATTTTTTCTTCCTCAGAAAAAGTCTTGTAGGATCTTTTTGCCCATATGATACCCCCAGTTCACAGGGCTAAAACGTCTAGACCAAATACTTCAGCCCAGGCTAACACTCATTAACTAGCTGAGCTCCTATCAAATGCTCCTGAGGGTGCCTTAAATAAAATGCCATCGTATCTGATCTAGAGATCAAACGGGGTTCAAAAGTCAGTGTCTCAGAAAAGAGTGTAAAACCTCATCTAAAACAATCCAATAAACATCCTTTTGCCAATCTTGATACGCATATGTTGGAATACCCTAAGCCTGCACATAAGCTGTTTGACATCTGCACAATGTCCGGTACTCATCAGGGGAGAAGATAATCATCACTATTCTTTTATCTTCCTTTGGCAGTCTTGCCCCAGAGCTAACTGGAAAGTTTACAAAATGCCGCTGAACTTTCCAATCTGCATTAGTCCATTGAAAGCCACTGTGTCTCCTTTGTCATTCTATTTTTTCTCTAAACAGTCATGCATGTTTCTGCTATCTTGTCTCTGCCATTGTTTATGTTTTCAGTAAGCAGCTGAAATGATTAACTGTTCTAAAATACACTCCTTTCTTATCTGTAGATATTACTGTGGTAATAGTAACTGACCTTGACTAGCGTATTAAGATTGACTGGTGCAGAAATGCTGGACTGTACTCCCATGAAGATAAAACAATGAAAACAGACTAATCTATAGCATTGCCTGCTTTGGATTGCTTTTGAATGACAGTATTAAGTTTTAGAAGTAAAGAACAACTCAGGGAATTCAGCAACACCATCTCAGTCTCTGACTCACCAGCACAGACTAGTGGTTAGAGTAGTGGCCTAAAATTTAGGAGATTCAAGTCCATCTTATCAGGAAGGTCACTGAATAACTGTGTCCCATTCACTCTCTTGGAGATCTAGCTCATGACGTTGTTATGGTGATAAAGTTGGAAGGAGATGCATGTACACTACCTTCAGCTCATGGTGGTGGGATAGAAATGTTGCTAGTACACAGGCCACAACATAAATTGACAATACTGTCATTACTCCCTTCAAAAAATTTGGGATTTGTACTTTGATAAGGCTGTTGTCTTAGAAATCCCTAGCTCTCCTCAACAAATTTTCCCCTCTCAGGATAGACAAAATAAGTATCAAACAATTGTCAGTCTTTTTTGTGGACTGGAGCTTAGTTTTGGTGCACAACTTTTGTATGCAGGAGATTGCCAGTTCAATCCTTAGCATCTCCAGTTTAAATGGTCACATAGCAGAAGAAGACTTTGGGTCTGGCACTTTCTAGTAGGCAGATAAGTTGGACAAAGAATTTGACTTGCATAGAATATTTTCCTGTGTAAATTAATGTGGAAGTAGTATGATCCCAAGCACTTCTCACTACCTGAGGTTGGACAATAAAAATACACCATAGCCGCTATATTTGCCATCCACACCTGCCTCTCCTTTCTGCTATCCTTTTGCTACTAATCACAATTTTGTCTTAAACCTGGAACAGATAGACTCTGTCAAAGCAGAGACACCTGAACAAAACAGCAGGCATGACCCTCCACACAGACAGCTAGGCACAAAGCTTCACTCTGCCAGTCCATTTTACAAGTGAGAATGTGGGGAAGATGTTCAGATAGCACAGGTGATCATCTAAGGAATGCAATTCAGAATGTGACAGGCATTTGGACCCTGGCCGGAAAAGTGGCTCTTCAATGACAGGAGTGGCAAAATACTTCCTTGCACTTCACCATCTAAGATGGCTGCATTACTTTACTGGGAGGAATGAGGAGAGGTTGCTGAATGTCCAAGTGCATGCTTTATATGCAAAAGCATCCAGGTTCAGCCTGTAGCCTCTCTAAACTGAGCTGGGGGGGGGTTCCTCAAAAAAGCAGGTGGATCCCACTGTTTGGCCAATTACATTTAACATTTATGGTTGCTATTGTTACATGCCTTCAAGTCATTTCTGACATAAGATGCCCTAAGGCAAACCTATCACAGGGTTTTCTTGGCAAGATTTGTTCACAGGTGATTTGCTATTGCCATCCTCTGAGGCTGAGAGCCTATGACTTGCCCAATATCACCTAGTAGGTTTCCATGGCTAAGCCAGGATTCAAACCCTGGTCTCCAGAATCCTAGCCCAACACCCAAACCACTATGCCACATTGGCTTTCATGGACGCGTGCAATATGGACATCTATGTCTTCCTCTTAGACTGAAAGAGTGTGACTTGTCCAAGGTCAACCAATGAGTTTCCAAGGACCTAGACCCTGGTGTTTCAGTATCCGACACTCAAATCACTATCCACACTAGCTCTCAATATTTGAGAGTTAGTAATGCACTACAGATCTCAGAGGCTAAAAGCAGGAGTCATCTGGCTGTTGTTTTTTTTTCAAAAAAGGCATAAAAAGCCATTCTGTTTTTGCTATATTAGATTGATTTGCAGTGTATATCTTTGCAATGTCAGATTAAAAGAATTTAAATACAAATTATCTTTGCAATGCCAGATTAAAAGATCAAAAATTTAAATGAAAATTATTGCAAAGAAACCCCAATTGGGCTATGTATTCTTTTCCACACCAAGAGCTCACATTAGCATCGTGGTGCAAATGCAGTTCTATGCCTTCTTCAGCTGCAAAACCCTAGCTTTGGGGAAAAGATGGGATGTTTTTAAAATGCAATGCAATGCAATATAATATAATATAATATAATATAATATAATACAATAAACAACAATAGAAAACTTTTATATACAGATCTATGGGTTGGAAATGGAGGCAGAATAGGCAAGGTTTTGTAGTTTTATATAGTAATGGAGAGAAAGCATGTTTGTTTCATTGTCTAGATGAACTGATGTAATCTGCATCTCCCAAAGTAACATGCAAATTAGTATGCAATTATCCTTTAATTCTTATACATCTGGAAAGTGTGCATTACAATATTTCAGTAAAACAAAAACCTATTAAAATGTACACGTGATGGAAACTGCATATTAAAGCATATGCTTTAAGGGAAATTATTTACAAAAATATGCATATTAGGGCAGAATACCTGAAAAAAATGATGTTTAGGGGAAATAGACTGGAAAACAGTATGCAAAACTATGTACAAATTTTCAAGCCACAAAAAGGTTCATAAAAATGCCTATAGATTTTTGTCCCCCTCTCTTCTCTAAAAAATTGTAAATTGCTGTGGAATTGAAGTGGAATGAACTTATGTTTTTTAAAAAGTGAACATTATGAAATGTGAAACAGATACATTCATCATCTATAGCTTTATGATCAATTTCATTCAAGATATTATGCACAGATTCAATAAATTTATATTGAAGAGATGGAGAAGCAAAGACCTATGAATGTCATTGTTTAACATCCTTTCCTTTGTTACCAAATGGCAAAAAAAAAAAAAAACTATCCGTGTTGGGAAGCATCAAAGTCCTAGAGGCATGTTGGTTATTAATTTCATTTGGGAGGGATGAGTGGGGAAAGATATTAGGGACAATTAGCAATGAAGATTTTCATCCATATAAATGCACTAAGATTGCCGCTAAAGCTATTTAGTTAATTGATCTATAAAAACGGTTGATTCATGATGAGCAGATACACAAATTAATCTTCATTTGAAGCTTGAAAACAAGTCTGGACAATAAGCTGGGGCTAAAGAAGCATTTATTGAATTGGGTAAGTAGTCCCCATCTTCCACTCACTCCAGACAACCACTGTTATTTTCTTAAAGTAGCTTAAGGTTTGAAATTTTACTTTGTTTGTCTAACTAGAATATAGGATAAGAGTCAAAGAACCTAAATTCGAATCTGCACATGTCTAAGTGGGTCATTGGATGACCTTGGGTGTCCTTCCTCTCGGCCTCACTTCTGACAATGTTGTTGTGGATTTCAACTCTCATCATACCCAGCCAGTATAATAAATGATTGTGATGATGAGAGTTGGAGTCCAACAAAATCTAAAGCTCCCCACCCTCTTTACAGTCATCTACAATTACAATTATCATTGAGTTCATTTCCTTCCAGGGAAATTTCTATATGCACAAATAGGACAGCCAAACAGTTTCAGCTTCAGGTCTTAGGGCTTGTCTACACCGGCAAAAAACATTGTACACACTGCAAAGCCAGTGCTGGCATTCCCCACAATGTACATTTATTTCTAGGGAGATACCATGGTTCTTGGCCCTTATTTTGACTTTGTCCAGAACTAAGTGAAGTCAGGGAAAACTCCAGTGTTTCATGGAAACCCTGGAACAACCTTGGGTTTGTTGTGCATGTGAATAGCTGGATGAGGTCTGATTTGGCCCAATCCAGATGTCCACATTTTAAGATCTGCACTGTCCCACTTCCCAATGCTGAGCAGTACAGGGAAAGGAGATGCTTGTTTTTGGAAACACCACTGTCACTTCATCATGGGCAGGTCATCTGTATAAATTCTATGCAATGTGCCATCACTTCTGCTGAGGTCAGAATAGGGCACTGTGCAATGAATGAGGAGGCAGTAGAGCAATCCAGTCCTTGTAAGCTACATGGTAGTGTGCCCCAATCTGATCTCAGCAGAAGTGATGGCAATGGCCAAGCTCTCGCAGTAGTGGCTGCATCACTGGTGGTAGCACCAAGGGAAATAGGCCAGTGGGGCTAACATGGTGTCAGCCTAGCTGGCCCATGTGCACAATGATCTAATTGAGTCCAGTGCATAAGGACACAATTGTGGTCAGTCCAAGGCCAATCTAAGGCATAATACTCCAGAGTGGCCCCAGATTAAGCAGCCAGTGTAGATGCACCCTTGGAGGCCCCTGTGAAAGATACATTCAAGATAATCATCCTCAAATGTACGAACTTTCTCACTTACTGTTATCATTATTCACTTTCACAGCAGGGAAGTATTACCTGAGAAACTATTTGAGGCTACTGGAGTATAAAATTCCACTAGCATAACTGCAGAGATCTTGGGAGGGTAAAAGCAAGTGATACTGTGCCTATATGCCATCTGGGAGCCATTGTGCAGCCTGAGAAAAACCATTGTGTAAGGAGACACTGGATACCTCCTTATGCAATGGTAGGACACCCGTAATAGTCTTTCTCTTGCTCCTGTCAATAGTCACTAGTTTAAAGTGAACAAGTAGACTGTGGCATAGATCCAGCTGGTGGAGTTATGCAACCCATATACTGACTGCCAAGATAGTGCAACATATAAGGATTGATGGTCAATGCATATAGCTGGCAACTCATTGTGCAATTACCATCAGCAAATGAACCCAGGTCAATCCATGGTCACACCCTGCTTTGTGTACTTTAAGGCATAATGACCCTACATGTGAAACTGCTTACACTGTCATCAGCTAGGGCATTGTCCAAAAAACCACTCTGCATTCATAGCATAGCGTTCATCTGTGTATGACACTAACAAGATGCTGACCAGTGTTGGCGCTGTGGAAGAGAGTAGTCCCCTGCTGAGTTGTGAAGCCTTGGGGATACCCAAGAATGTCAATCTCTGATATCAGTCCCAAGAGTTACTGTGCATCAAAGCTCTCCAACCTCAAACAGATTGCTGGCCTCATGGTTATGAATTATGAACCTAATTGTGAACTCAAAAATATACTAAGAAAATGAAGCTTCTCACACTGTTTTAGGAAACAGCCTGGGCAGATACTCAGAGGTGACTAAAGAGAACATAGTATGTCTCTTTGATCCTCTGTTTAAAGAGGTGCTTAAGAAAGACATTAATGTGAGGCTAGTGTATGGCTCTTGCCATCCTTTGGCATTGTTGAGCCTGTATAATGAAAGCCAATGAAGCTTAATTAAGGTAGTTAGATTTAGCAATGCATTAAACTGCAGTGTGTCCTTTTTCAGCATCTAAATCCATTGGAAAGAGTAAATAACCATGCCCTTGATGTTCCAATGGCCAGCAATCATTTAGTGTCTAGACATACACAAGCGATATACTGTGTAGCATGTATTGATTAGCCTTTTAAAGCTGCACATGGTAAATGGCCATAGACATACCCATCACTTTTAGAATGTTTGTTCCACTGATATTTCTTTCTAATTAAGCCAAATGTTCAAGTTCCAACACAGTCTATGAAATAGCCACAATGTCTCCTGGATATATTTGCTGGAAGTTTTGATTTTTCATGCTGGGCTTGAGGATTTTGATAGCATTTTTGGAATTACTCCAGTGCCATCTAGAGGATAGCATCATATGCACACTTCCAAAATAGAAGAAACATATTTGTAAAATCTGATAGAAGCCAGCTGTGCCAGTGTTCTCTGACACTGAATGTCTTCCCCAAAGTAAGGATGTGCAAAGAGTCAATTCTGGTGGGTTGTCTGTGGAGACTTCATTTGAAGCATGCAGTTTAAAACATATGCAGTTGTTTTTGTTTACGGTACTCATTTATAGTCTGCGTTTTCTCCCTAGTACTGGATGTAAAAGCAACTAGCACAGATGAAAATACATACAGAAATATCAATAAAATATATGTAGAAGGTATTTCAATACAATAAACAATGTACAGAATTAAAACCATTTTAAAATTCATTGAAAGATAGTTAACAAGACAGTGAAGCATTAAAAGACCATTGCAGTCCATTCCTAAAAGTCTGTTGAAATAGAAAATTTATCACCTGCCAGTAGAAGGAAGGAGCCATCTTAACTTCCATAGTGAAGGAATTCCAAAATCCAGCAGAAAACACTGAAACAGTCCTCTCCTGTGCCTGGGAAGGTGATATGAATCCGGATGCATCTACATGATGGAAATAATGCAATTTCACACCATTTTAACTGCCATTGTTTCATCCTGCAGAATCATAGGATTTGAAGTCTTGCAAGACACCAACATGCTTTGGCAGAGAAGACTAAAACTAGAAGTCCCAGGATTCCATAGGATGGCAGTACAGCACTTACAGCAGTGTGAAGTTGCATTATTTCTAGAATGTAGATGCACCCTGAGACATGTTTTTAAAAGGGTGTGGATTCTGTCCCTTAAAAGCAGAACAAGATGACAGATCTTAACCAGCAAATGAGGGGCAATGTTCAGATTTGCCTATGTTACAAATTGTAGGTTTTATAGAACTGAACATTTCTAGCATGCATTCCTAGGAAGCAAGTTGTTTTCTCTGCAGGGTCAGTAGTCCCTTTAAGGAATGTGGTGCAGCAGACCGCCAGA